TCTCGGTTGTATACTCTCTAAGACTGCTACTGTTTACCCACCTCTCGGTGTTGTGCTTTTACTGGTATTGCTATCACTGTCTGGTTAGGTTTAGGTTTAAACAACAGATCAACATTATGGCACAAGGGTAGTAACTCATAAGTGCTCCGTTCTACTTCTGACTCAAGCCTGAGTTCTAAGTATCTGCGCATTCTGCGAATTCCCTAGCACCGGCGAGGATCCTGAAATACTTTAGGTAGATTATTAACTCCAAATTTTCCCCGGGCAGCGCTGTTAGGCTACTCATTGTCGATTTCCAACGGCCAAGAGACTTTTTACGTGCGCAACAATACACACGGACGTCCGATCTTACTACCCAGAGACCAGGGGAAATTACTAGAAGTCTACGTGCAAAAATCTACGACCAGATCCAGTAGGCCGTGCAAAAATCCCAGCCTTCACCGGGACTTCAACCGGGACCCCAAGCACTCGATGCAGACACCATACCTCGAGACCACCCACGTAGCCCCCACAGGCCGGCCCCTCAACCTCCCACTGTCTGGCTTGTACTAAACACACCCACTTGGAGCGTTACAACGTAACACTAGCTAAACTGTCGTCCCGATTATATAACCTTTTCTAACCGGCCGCTAATCGCCACACGATTAACCGGAGCGTGCCCCGAGCCAGTGTTTCTCAAACTTCATACAACCGCAACCCATCAATCTGTGAAAATTGATTCGCGGCATACAAATTGGATAATTTTTCGCCAACCAGCTCATATCTAACCAGCAATGTAGGCCAGAATCATATAGCCCAGAGTGGGCGGCGTGTTATGTATCCACCGGATGCTATATTCGGTTTTATGCGTTTAAACAGGGTTTCTGATAATTGTATCAAGAAAAGACATAAAATCGAACGAAAAGTTCCCCGAGTGTGTTCCGGGGCCCAATTATGGGGAAAACAAGATTAGACCCACTACCTGCCCAAAAGCATGTCGTAGGAGTCAACAAATTGGGAGCTTCCTTTAAAGTCGGAGTACATCTGCCTGAGAGACAAGGAACCAACAGTCTGCATGCAAAGGAGTCTGACATGTGAAACGGATGTACGCGCATAGATCAGGTTCTGGAACAGGACTAGAGTTCAGAAGTGGACGAACAACCAGAAATTGACCCGGGAGTTCACAGTCGGTGATAGAGAAGAAGAAAAAGAAGAACGAAAAGCTTCACAATATAACGAACACAAACAAAATGTGAAATTTGCGGCTATGGAGCCTTCATCCGCACATACATAAAAAAAAAAAACCACACAATCTGTTTTTAACTTATCCGTGGGGTGTTAGTTCTATACACAGCGATCATGGAAGGGGAAAACAACCTATCCCTTACAATATAGTTAAAGTTAGTTGCGTATCTTTTTTAGAGGGCACAGCGAAACCAACTGCAGCTATTTTAGGCTGTTGAGGTTTTTTAAGGCAAATTTTACTTCAGTAGTTTGCCATTACCCCTGCACGGTCAGCTCTCGGTACCACTGTCGAATGCGACGCAAGAAAATCATCCGCAGCTGGGATTGAACCTGGTGACCCCGACATTACAAAGCTCTTTCGGAACGCCTAAGCAACAGAAAACTTTCATTACTAGCTAGACTTTTGTGGTGGTTCAACTGGACTTTTCCCCGGCCTATGGGTTGAAGAACACTGCCCTAGGCAGCCAAAAATGCCTCTTGTCTAGACAAGGGGCCCGGTATTAAAGACAAACATTCATTGTGCGTTTTCTTCACTTGTTTGAATACTATTACTACACATGGGAGATCGTAACCGTGAATAATATTTTACAAAGGAACACATGTGAAGTTGGCTAGTTTGTTAATGCGTCAGGAAAGTGCGAAGAAAGTATAATATGTCTATAGCCAGTGTGCTGCTAGAAAGATCGACTTACCACATTTCTCTGGAGAACAAGACAAGGGGAGAAGGGGTGGGGGGGGGGGGAAAGGGGTAGTAGCTAGATAATCTATGTACATGCTTGGTGCGCCCTTCAGTTCCCGAGTTCAATGTTTACGGAGAACCCTGGGGATGGTCGCCGGAGCTACGAGGTTCGTGCTCTGTGAAGCGCTCTTGGCTGGCGGCTAGCAGGTCTGCAGAGCGATGGACCGAGCCATATGAGATAAGAACAAGTGATGGTCTGACAATTAAGTATTGAGACCGATTTTATTATGCCCAAGACAAAAATGTCATCTATGAAGCAAAGCGTGGAATCCAAAAAGGCAACCTTCATCTACGATCTGGCAACTGTTCAAATGATTTTGGTGTTAACAGATAGACCATTCGTAAAATGTTAGTACAAGATTTGGGCAAGAAAAAAGTTGATAGCCATTTTGTAACATATTCGTTGCCTGATGACCAAAAACATCAGCGTGTTGAGTATGCAAAAGACATCATCAAAACATGTCACAGAAATAAACATTTCTTAAATTTGATTGTTGCAGAGGATGTAACATGGATTTTCGGCTATGATCCCTCAACTAAACGCCAAAGTGTTCAGTGGAAGTCATCATCATCACCAAAAGGCAAATCAATCAGTCTTCAAAAGTGGAAAGCGAAAATAATGCTGGTTTGCCTCTACGACAGTAAAGGAGTTATTCACTAAGAATTTATTCCAGAGGGACATACTGTCCGAGTCTGACCCGAGTATTCTTTTTCTTCTTTTTTTCGCGTTCACCAGCTGTAAACTCTGGCGGAAAGTTCTGGTTGTTCATCCACTTTTGAACTGAAGACCTGTTCTAGAACCTGAGTGTTTCGTCTGCATCCGTTTTACAGATCTGACTTATTTGTATGCAGACTGCTGGTTTCTTGCCTCTCAGGCAGATGCACTCCGACTTCAAAGGAAGCTCCCAATGAGTCGATTCTTACTACATGCTTTTCGGTCTAATCTTGTTTTCCCTAAAACGGGTCCCGGAACCCACACGGGGAGATCCGAATACTCAACACCTGGCAGTTTTTTTACTTCTTAATGACAATGCACCGACTCACCGGGCGGCAGTTGCAACGGAATTTTTCGACCAAAAACAAGTGTGTTTTCAGCCATCCACCATATTTGCCAGATTTTTCTCCTTTTGATATTTTTCTATTCCCCAAATTAAAGTTACCATTGAAAAGACGCTTCTTTAACGATATTGATGACATTCAAAGAGCCGTAACATCGACTTTAAGGGCCATTGCAACAGAAATACTACAAAGGTCGTTCCAGTGTTTGTTAGATCGTGCCACTCGCTGTATGAATGCACAAGGGGCTAACTTTAAATAAAATACAGACTGTAAGCGGTTGATAATTTACATTTTTATGGAATTAGTCTCATTACTGTCGGGGGGCAAAATAAAATCCTCACCTGCACAGTCGTGTCGATTGCACCAGCCATAAATCCTCGGGAAAAGTGATATAATAAAGGCAATAATTGGCAGTCTCATTACTCAATTGTTGGACATTGTATAATGTCCATTCTAACCAGTCCTTTGGTTCTTTCTTTGGTTTGTTTTGCAGTTTGTTCCCTCCAGGATTACTGTCCCCACGATAAACATCTCCAGGATTTAGAATAACACGTGTTACAATTCCGGTAAGTCACGTTCAACTGTTAAGTTATGTTGGGTCTCCATACGATTACCAGGTATCCTGAATTTATGATTACAAGGGGGTAAGTTTCAAATAATGATATTATTTTTTACAGGAGCCTGTGGGCACCAATTCAAGAATTTCACAAATAATAACTTTCTTAGGCGGGTTGAGGTGAGGGGAGCAAGTCGTAAAAAGCGACTAATTACGGTTTCCTGAAATTGGATATTTAGCCCAGAGGCGTTTATTGCGCAGCCTAGCCGTAAACCACAACACAGCATGCCAGCCGTCCTTTTACGGGCGTACGCAGTAGAAAAAGATGGCTGTAGATTTGAGGGGAGATGGTTCCATTACCGAGAGCGATCACCACACTCGCGGTTATTGTCTGCCTTTGCTGCCAGGGATTCTAAGACTCTTGCGATCTTATAGTTTGAAGTCATTGACATGCCTCATAGCAGTGGCGTTCTTAATCGATTCTCTTCTCTTCTCTTTAGCTGTACACGTGTCCTAGGGCGTGACCCGTGAAGGTTAAGTGAGGTTTTGGTCAGTAAGAACTGTGACCTTGACATGGCAGTCCCTCTCAATTCCAAACACGTGTTTTAAGCATGCCTTCATAGAGTTTAGAAAGCACATGCAGCGAGGTAGGAAGTTGGGTACACAGGTAGTGTTGTGACTAGCGTTTTCTTCTGTGGGTCTGTCAAATTTTAGTACAATTGGTTAAGACCAGGGCTTTTTGTTTTCTAGACCCAAAAAAAATTGCTTGTATTCACTAAAACGTATTTTATTCTTCTTCTTCTTTGTTATTCACTCGCGACGTTTATTTTTATTTCTGTAATTATATATTTTTATTTTGGACTTCATTGCGTAAGTAAATGTTTTCAGCCCCCTTGCATCCTGCCTCTCTCCATTAACTTTCTAGCTCATTTGATCACAATACTTAATGCTTTATGATAAAAATCAGAATACGCCCACATTATTTTTACAGCGAATGACATAATGTGGTTTATGACATTATTTTTGCCGAGCAAATGTTCGCGTCTGTAATTATTGTCAGATTTAGTAGCCAAAGTATTTTTGTAGACAAACTAATAGAACATTATATTATATTTAGATTTCGAACATTTTATAATTTATTGATTAATACAGATATAACCAGAATTACAATTAAATTATGGTAATATTTTAAGTGTATTTGAAGTTATAATATTATTGTTTCTATTTTTTAATCCATGAAGCCAAACTCGAATTGGAAATAGAAAGGTAACAGAAAGGACAAGAAGCAGATTCCGAAACGGGGCAGACGGGAAGTAGCAAGTTCTGGGATCCGGGCATTAGTTTCGAATTCTCTTGCTCTACTGGCGTCATTTTGTTAGGACGCGTTCTTTTGAATAACTGATTTCTTTATTGAAAACTGCCATGCCAGGAGTAAGTATGGTTGTCGTATATTTATTTGTTAATTAGTTTATATTCTAATAAACGGTGTTTTGCTGTAGACGTACAATTTTGACGCGAGACAGAAATTGGAGAGGAAAGTTGGAGACTGTTGAGGGAACGCGTGGTTTCTCTGGGGTCAGCGCCATGTTGTCGGGGGATGCGAGGTCAAGCCGAGCACAATGTCACCTCCAACTTTCTTCTCGCGGGCAAACTTGGCGGTTACAGTTTCCAAAATCGCCATCGCGATTTCGCTGTCAGTATTTTTATAAATAATCTGGACAGTGAATTGTTGAAGTTGCACAGATAATTCGATTCAAATTTGGGTGTCTGTTGAAGAAAGGAGAGAAGTAGAAGAAGAAGAAGAAGCGTGCGGTGTCCTGAGAATTCACTTAGACAAGACACGATGGCGATTTTTGCACAAATGCGAAGAGCTTTGCAAATAAAAATGCGCCATGCAGTTCAAATATGGGAAATATTTTTTGTTACACTATTTGCAAAGTATGTCTATTGCATAAACGTTTGGAAGAAAATTGTCTTTGTCCGGAGTTGGTCGGCAAGGCGTTCTTTCTTCTCAGCGAAGCACGAGGGAGGGAGGCTTGCCTATGTGGATTTCTCATGTTAAAACCACGCAGGCACCCGGTCGGAAAGAAGCGAAACACTGACTTCTAAGATCTACCCACACCCGCAGACATATAATCAAATTAGTTTGATTGGGTGAAGATTAAACAGAAACATATATTGGAATAAATCCTTTAGTCATTTTCCATTAATAAATATTGTCCTGCCTTTCTTCTCTACCATGTTGTCCAGTGAAATAAAGAAAAGAAAAAGCTTTGAATCGTTCTCTCTTTCTGCTGTTGTCGCTTTGACAAACTGCATAAGAAATTTGATTAAAAAAAGAATTTTTTACTAATGAGTTTCTTGATTTTTGCACATTTTTTTCTTTAGGTGAACATATGTAATAAATGTACTAACACTAAAATTTGTAAAGTTGATGCTTTATTGTTGTAGCCATTACCTACGGGGCACACCCCCTTTCAACACAGGAATTAGCATGTGACGTCTATTAAAATATTGATATCCCAAAATTAATCCAACTTATGCACGTTCAGTAAAAATATATTAAGAGATGGCAGATAAAAAAGCAGAAGCAACAACTAATTTTCTACGTATGCTTAGTCAAGTACCTAAAGCGCATATCTGGCTCTATTGAGCGTGTGTTGGTTAGTCGTCTACGGGTTAAATAGATCTTCAAACTTTTTCCTAACTTTCCTACTCTTTAGGTTCCTTTCCTTGTCACACTAAAACAAAAGTATTGGACACAGTAAAGCCCCAACCTGGCTTTCGCTGAGGGCCCTAATAAAACCTAACAGTTTTTGAGATTTATGTCATTAGGATCCACATGAAAATGGTGACTCCTTGTACCACTGGGTGTTTAACATTCATGCAGTCCCGATTGGGTTAAAGGTAGTTCAGTTTCCATCAGTCCGCAATACATGCAGCCAGCAGGGTATGGAAAAAAAATGATGGGCAGAGCAATAGGAGAAACAAGTGATGTTGTAAGGGAGTGAACAAGTGATAGAGAAGAGAGAAAGTTGGTAAACTCTTAACGGGCAGTTCTAGACTGTGGTGTTGATCTAGAATAGGATAAGGTCAAATACCTGGCAGCATGTATGACAACATTGAGCGAATCTGATTCTAGTGGTCATATGAGATGGCAAAACGGGCAGCGTGTGCCTACCTCTGGCACATGATGATGATTGTGAACATTTTTGTAATTATATGACAAAATGAAAAAATTAACTACATTGGTTGTCACTGCCGTGAGCATGTTAAAACATGGTTTTGCTTAGATGTTTGATCATAAAGTTACAGCATATCAAGTATCTGGATACAATCTGGATGTGCTGACAGTATTTTCTTGTTTTGTTCCAATTATTTATAAAAAAAATTCCCATAAAAATTTTATGTCGACTTATAACTACTTATAACTGATGAACAGACTCAAAATGTGTACCATTGAATTGAATTGCATTTTTACTACCTACTCAACTGTGCTAGTTGCATTGTTTAACTCTTTGAGCCCCAAGGAACGCATCATACGTTCATAGATTCCTACCTTATAGCCCAATGAACGCAATATGCACCAATTTTATGTCTCTTGACCACCCCTTGGGCCTGTGATGCTAAACCCACTAGACTCAAAGAATTAAAAAAAAAAAATTCTGAAAATATAAGTAGAGTACCTAATTACTGGTATTATTTATATTTAAGTATTTTGTGCACCTTGTAAACTAATCTGCTTGCAACTGCACTTATAGGTGATTGTTGTGTGTGCTTTAATCATTTCTTTCTAACCAATCCAAATGCGCAAGAAGTCGTCGTAGAGCTCAGGCCAGCGTTCTGAGTTTCTTGTGTGAATCTCATCCTGGCACAGACTTGAAGCAGGCATGTCATGTTTGACCCGACCTATAATTTGTTGTAACAGTTTTCTAGAAGAGACTGAAATAAATATTGACCATCTTGTTTTAGTCTATGCTGGGTGATGTTGGTAGTCATGTCTGTCTTGTATACTTTCAATAATTTCTGACATAGATAGATCTTCCATATATTGATGTCAGGCTGTTCTTCTTCTCTGTTGATTTCCCCCTCTAACTTCCTCCCCCTGTCATAATGTACTCTAGTTTTTTCATGACATAACCAAAAACTAGATATCTCATTCTGATGTGCGCAGTCAGTTCACTTACTGGACATCTTCATTACACCTTTTATCTGTCCTGTGTATTCTCATCATTTATTTTTTAAACTACATTTTTGCCATTCCCAGATAATTTGTCACCAGTTGTCCAACTGTCTATGATTCACTGCCATTTATCAAGATTGGATTTATTTAGCTCTTGATAATTCTCTTATGTCAATTGAAAAAAAAAAGGTTGCATAGAATATTCTTGTCACCTTTTCCCCACATCACCCCATCAAATACTGATTTGCCTGTAAAACCTGCAGCTAGCATTATTTATCCAGTAGACCTTGAGTTATTGGAAACTGTTCTCTGTACTTCTTCCAAGAATTTGTATTACAGCCCCAAGATGAACCCTTTGATAAAGATAACAGGGTTAAGAAACTCACAGTGCTCTAGTTTTCTTAGCAGGAGAATTTTGAAAACCATTCATCGGGATAACAGCACTAACGAATTAACAGATTTGCATGGAGACTTCATATCTTTTCTTTACTCTTTATAATTGTAGGCATAACATTTCTTGTTACATGAATTACAATTTGTTTTAAACAGGAACTTAACAGATGCTGCCTCTTATCCTGGAAGTAGTGGGCTGATGCCTAGCTGTCTGGATTAATTTGACTTTAATCCCTAAGCAGTTGTTTGTTATTAAAAGCCTGCTTTGGTGTTTTAACTCTTTCACTACCAGCTTGATTGGTTGGTTCCTTGCAGCTCAGAGAGTTAAGATGTGGTAAACATCAAAATGCATACATAATTGAAATAGTTAAAAACATCAGACCAGATGAAAAGGGGAGACCAGTCAGCTCCACATATCACAAACACAAGTGACAAGAGAACCTTGAGGCTAGAGAGCCTTCATCAGCAGATTACATGAATATACAATGTCACAGATATGAATAAGCATACTCCAAAATCACAGAACGAAGTACCTTTGAAAGAAGTCACGTTATCTGTGGGTTGTTGAATCTCTGACAAGTGTGTCATAGCAAGTTAAATTGTCTTGCTTGTTCAGTGCCTTGGACAAAACTGCAAATAAGGCTACACGGATCCGAACAACCAATATACGATAATTTAGCAATGACAAATTCAATTATAAGAAAAACATTTGAGGTTTCAGCTGTAAAGCAGACTGACATTTTCTTCTTTCTTCACCGATGTAGTAAGCTCCGGCACAAAGTCCTGGTTGTCTGTCCATTTCAACTAAAAGATGCACTAGGCATGCTGGGACAAAGGAACTAGACTGCCGTGGGTACCCTCTCCTTGTAGAGTTCCTGAAAAAGAGAATTACCACAGGAATAGGGAAATCAGCTGAAATCTAGGCTGTTAGAAAGACACATAAGTAAATGAAAATACTCTTGAATGTTTTAGGACAAACTGCTATTTTCTGTCATACGGTGAAGGTTTTAGAAACAATGAATAAATACAAAAACAGATGGGAAGCTTTAGAAGCTACAGAAACATTAAATTAATAAACAGGTTTAGATTTACACAACAGATCAACATAACAGAAGGGTAGTAGCCCATAAGTGTTCCATTCTACTTCTGACTTAAGTAATAAATACATCAATAGTGAGTTATGAGATTTTCAAGAAAGACTGAGAAAATATATAAATAGATGGGGGATCTCATTAAACTTAAAATAGACTGAATAAATACATAAACAGGCGTGGAACCCTTCAGAAACAACATGATTGCCAAATTGGCATGTATTGACTATGAAAGTCAGTCAGTGCATTATTGATTGTCTTATCATACTGAATAAATACATGAATTAGTTTTGTCTCCTTCATTAAACTGTACTGACCAACTAAATGAAACAGATGTATAGAGAAGCAGTCCATTAGATGTAGCCATTGTTGTGCCCAACAAAGTTTTTATGTTAAATGCACATGTATCCAGAGAGACTATAGAAACAACCACATTTTTTTGGGAAGCAGAAATACATAAGGTTATTGGAAAACAAAATTTAAAAGAAGCAAACATGCCAATGATAGAATCTCTGGTTGCCTCACACTAACACAGGGAAATTTCTTAACTTATTTCTGGTTACAAACCTGGCGCAGCTGAATAAAATTTGGAAAATTGCAGTCTTGTCCCCCATTAATTGTTGCACATAATCTCAATGTGTGGATGGTTTTTTTTGTCCATGCTTAATAAATGCAGAAAGCATTAGTAAAATGTCTTCCATCTGATATGATTTTTCTCAAATATTTGAATTTATTAATTTAGATTAACTTTTTACCTTCTATTC